GAGAAAAGTAAAGGATTTCTTTGCTCCTTCCCTAGAGATAAGTAGCAGTACTTGAGATCTCAAGACTTTAGCACACAATAAGAAAAATCCACAAAAGATGTGATTTCATCTAATTTTCAGATGGATATAAAGTGATTTTCCCCCATTTTTAAAATGGGGATTAGCTAAAGAATCCCCCCCTTTTTTTTTTAATGAGATGCTCCTGAATAGATTCCCCTGAGGTATTCTTTCCAGCAGAATTTGATTAAGGAAATCTCTTCAGGTAGGTCTCACTTCTTAGAAGTGAGTCCAAACTCTCTCTGGTGTTAGAAATGTTAAAGGAAAGGAAAGAATGAGCCATCATTTCTTCCCCTGGCTCTTAGGATGTGAATTACAGTACAGGGACACAAATAATGCCAGGGAAGGCACTGAAACAGCTGTTAACACCAGCATTTCAACCAAATGAACTTAAAGATCACTTGGCTTCATTCCACAGTGCATCCCATCCAGCAAGTGGAAAGCTGTTCCAAAGAGCTGTACAAAAGGGAAGCCTTTTCTGGGCAGAAGTGTGAAAGGATAAGGAAGGGTCAGCTCACCTCATCTTCCTTTGGGGGATTTGGAAAAGGGTCATTGGTGCTGACTGGTTAAGACTTTCTGGAGAAGGTTTAAACTGCTATTAGGTAAGAGTAAGGCCTAGTTTGGTGATTTGGCTTAGTACAAGTGACTCCATTTGGGGTCTGTTCTCTCTTAATACATCTATGGAGACTCATTGCTAGCAAAATTCAAGATGTTGGACTGTGGGGGAAATTATGTCTTTGAGGTTAGTTGAGGTAGATGTGGATGACTTCTTAAAAAGAGAAAGTATTCTTCTTTTTTTTAAAGATTTATTAATTTATTTTAGAGAGACCAGGGGAAGGGGCAGAGGGAAAGAATATCCAAGCAGACTCCCACTGAGCACAGAGCCCGACTTGGGGCTCCACCTAATGACCCATGAGATCATGACCTGAGCAGAAACCAAGAGTCAGATGCTAAACTGACTGAGCCACCCAGGCACCCCAAGAAAGTATTCTTTTTATTATTATTATTTTTAAAGATTTTATTTATTTATTTGAGAGAGGGTGCAAGCGAGGGACAGAGGGAGAAGCAGGCTCCCCACTGAGCAGGAAGCTGTATGTGGGACTTGATCCCAGGACCCTGGGATCATGACCTGAGCCAAAGGCAGACGCTTAACCGACTGAACTACCCAGGCACCCCGTCGAGAAAATATTCTTTTATTAACTTACTGGTTTCTCCTTCACTCTTTTATGCCTTCTGCAGAAAACACATCAGGTATTGCTAGCAAAAAAAGGGGAGTTATCCCTTTACATTAAGAGGTTTATCCTGTCTTCTGAGGACCAATTTTGATTTTTTAAAAAATTACCTTTGTATTGTTATTAAGAAACAGTGAGTACATACTTGCAAAGGAATTGTAATAGAGAAGGGTATGAATTAAAAGATAAAGCTCCCCCTTCCCAGAAATATAATAATTTAGTATATACCCTTTCAAACTTTTTTCCTTTATATATATGTCTTCCAACAATTTACTGTAAAATTTTTCAGTAAACAAAAAATTGTGGGGAGCCTGGGGGCTCCCTGGGGGCTCAGTTCAGCAGCCTACTCTTGATCTCAGCTCAGGTCTTGATCTCAGGGTCGTGAATGCAAGCCCTGGGTTGGGCTCCACGCTGGGTGTAGAGCCTACTTAAAAAAAATTAAAAATTAAGAAATAAGGAAAAAATTGAAAAAACTCTACAGTGAATGTGCAGTATCCCATCACTTACATTTTGTCATTAACATTCAACCTTGATTTATCGTATATTTATCTATCCACATATTCATTTTATTTTTGGGTGCACTCCAAAGTAAATTGCAGACAGTGATACACCTCACCTTATTTCAGCGTACATATCAGAACCAAGGTCTCAGTATTTGTTTACAGATTTTTCTTTTGAGGTACATTTATCATCAATAAAATCCATAAATCTTTTTTTTAAAGATATATTTATTTTTAGAGAGACACAGAGCGGGGGGGAGGGGCAGAGGGGAAAGGAGAAAGAACCTCAAGCAGACTTCCCACTAAATGCAGAGCCCGATGTAGGGCTCGATCCCCTGACCACCGAGATCATGACCTAAACCAAAACCAAGAGTCGGCTGCCCAACCGACTGAGCCACCCAGGCCCCCAATCTTTTTTTTTTTTTTTTTTAAGATTTATCCATTTAAGAGAGAGAGAGCTTGAGTACAAGCAAGGGGAGGGGCAGAGGGAGAAAGAGAGAAATTGAATACAAGCAAGGGGAGGGGCAGAGGGAGGAGTAGAGAATCTCAAGAAGACCACGTGGAGCCAATGAGAGACTCTTGACCTCACAACCCTGAGGTCATGACCTGAGTCAAAATCAAGAGTCAGTCGCTCTACCCACTGAACCACCCAGGCCGCCCCTAAAATGCGTAAATCTTAAATGCACGTTTGCTGTGGTTTCTTTCATATACCTGCATAATCCAACCCCTCCTCAAGAACAGAGTCCTCAGGGTGCCTGGGTGGCTCAGTCAGTTGAGTGTTTGCCTTCGGCTCAGGTTGATCCCGGGGTCCTGGGATCAAGGCCTGCATCGGGCTCCCTGCTCAGTGGGGAGTCTGCTTCTCCCTCTGCCCCTCACCCTGCTCGTGCTCTCTCTCTTAAATAAAAAATCTTGAACAGTGTCCTCATCCAGAAAGTGCCCTCATGCCCTTTGCTGTGCTGTTCCCGCCACATATAGCTTTAATGTTTCAAAGTTTGTTTGTTTTTTTTTAAATGAGCCCATGCTTTATTTTTTTTGCAACTTGGAGAGTGTGTCCATATGAGTAAATATATACCTCATTTTATTTCTCTAGCTGCATATCTCATTATTTGAATATACCAAAGTTTGCTTACCTTTGATAAACTTTACGTTGTTTCCACTTTTTCATTGCATACTCTGTAGTTATATTCAGCTTTGCTTCCCTATCAACAAGTAGACTCTGGTCTTTTACCAGCTGTAACCCCAAAATCTTGTTACATTACTTTAATGCCACAAGTTATTTCTTCCACGATATACCTGTAATCCATGCTGCTGTATCTTCAGATTTGTCAAATAAACTCATTACACTTTATGTGTTAACATAAATAGCATATTTTTATGAGAAATAACTTTTCCAAAGAAAAATTTCATAAGGAAGGCGACTTTATTTTACATTTTTGCAAATCTCTTTGATGTTTAGCTTACTATAAGACAACTGGATTTTCTAATCCATTTTTGCATTCAGTCTATTATGTTACTTTGGTTTAAGTACATGAAGAAATCTGTCCTCACGCAGGTTAATAAGTTACAAAAGATAAGAATATTTTAATAATTTCAGATAGCAAAATATATAAATGTAATAGTTCCTTAGCAAAAATTAAATGTAATTTTTGACCCTCTAGCAAAAATATAAATGTAATAGTTCCTTAAAGGTGAGTTGCAATGTAGAGTATGAAATCAATTAACTTTTTGTATTCTGTTACATTAAAGTCCATTGGTCTCTCTTGGAACTTAAATGAATTTTTTACCCATGTGTGATTTTATCACTTCATGTATTAGTCATTAAGAAATTCTGATTCGCTGAATTCTGAATTCGTTGCTCTTCCATTCCCTGTATGCATCCAAAACCATTTGCATTTGTGAATCTTCCCACCTATTTCATGAGGAAAATTTAAGTACTGGAAAACTAAAGATTCTTATGGTAGTGGACACAAGTTTTCCAAAATTCCAGCATTCACTTCAAACTCAAATTTTATCCCTGGAAACAGATAGTTTCAGTTGTTTCTTGAAGTAACAAGCTCACTTCACTCATTTTCACTTCCTAAGTCCGAATAACCATAGTTTGTGAGTTACTCTTTCAAGTACAATTGGTATATTCCATGGAAGAAGCTAGTCCAGCTCACCATTGTGTCTGCCCAGGTGAATTTGCTGGACACAGCCACCAGGGGTGCGGCACAGGTGCTTTATGTGTACTTCCTTTGGGCCTTGCATAATAACATTTTTGGCTTGTGGGTCAAGATTTAATTCAATTTTTATAGGTTCATCAAAAGCATTCTTAATGTTTAATGCTTTTATGATGCTGGCATGGTTCATTTCTATTAGTTTCATTCTTCTGGTACAGTTTTCTGCCACTTGCCTTGATTCCTACTAAGATGCCAGCAGTCCTACCCACCATTGCTTTTATACCATTAGTGCGAATGTCCGCATGGTGAAAATGGCATGTAACATCTGAGTACTTACTAGTATAGTAGTAGATACATAGTACTTAGTAGTTCTAAGACAGTCTTTGCCCCTGGAACCCCCAGGATTGGCGGAGCATTCAGAACTACTGGGCTAGAGACAGTGATAGGATGAATACCCAGATAACAAGAAGTTTAGCTTCCTGTGAGAAGTGAGTCACCTAAAAGGCAGGAAGGTCAGAGAGTAAGTAAGGAAACTGAAGCAGCCTCTTTAAGGTAGAAAAGGGCTTTTGACTTATGCTAGTAGTACTACTTCAAGGAGGGGGGGGGAATGTTAACATCATAAATTTGAATGTAAATACTCTTGAGTTATTTAAATTCAGGGACTCCTATTTTAGAAAATTCTTATACTTCCCGTTTTTACAGACAGCCTTATATTGTGTATAATAATGTAGGAAAACAGCTGCCAGATGCTCTAGTTAATAATTTTAATAATCAAACAATTCTTAGTTTTTAGTTGGCTTCATAATGACCTGTGTATTTTTTTGATAGTAAGTTTACTTTTTGGTTTCATGTAGGCTACTATTAAAACATAATCTTTAGCATTTACCACCTGCAGCATGATGGAAAAGAGTAGCTAAAATTAAAAATTGGTGATGGAAAATCCATAAAATTAAAAATTAAATCTTTATTTTTCTAACCAGTGCATATTAGATCTTGTGACTGACCTTTTGTATGAATAGATACTGAAATTGATAGTATTCTTTTTGATTCAGGAAAGTATCTAAGGCAAAAGAGAATCGACTTCCAGCTTCCCTATGACATCCTCTGGCAGTGGAAGCACAATCAGGTACAGGAGCCTATCTTACCAGGTTTTGTTCTGGGTGGGGGCGGAGCGGGGAATGCAAGTCTCTCTCTGCCTCCTTGTTTCGCTCAATGCTCTGTGCTCCCGTCTTACGAAGTATAGAGAACTGTCCCTGTGAAGGTTAGAGACTAAGAAACATGAATTTGCATCCATATCTAATGTGACCTATTTGCCTTTGCTCATACTTCAGAATAGCAGTGAGTTCCTGCTTCCGTAGGCAACCTTCTGTTATGAGTCTGGACTTTTATTTTGGTAGCGGAACTCTGTTCTGTAAGAATCCTGTTTGATGCAGGTCCCAGGAGAACTTAGATGTACTGCCAGCAGCGCTAAGAAATTTCAGGCTTTATTTTTGTTGGCTCCTTCCCATCAGTTTGGAATTTATTTTTCACATACAAAGGAGATTCTTCTACCAGAGGAAACAGGGAAAATGTTTAAATGTATACTTTTAAAAGATCTTTATGTTGGGAACTAAAAATAGGAAGGTGCTGTTTTTCTCTGCTGCTTCCCTGATTGTAAAGTTTCCCCCAGTAATTCTTAGAGTTCTTTGTAGCTGTAGCCCCAGGCCTCATGTTGAGAACAGCATCAGGAAATAGAAGTTGTCATGCAAATGAGGTGAATAGGCTCCTGACCTTTGCCAAAATTCCACCAAAGTTCCGTTTTGGAAAGCCAAAAGCAGTGGACATTCCCCTCTGCATTCTCTTCTCTGGGTGGCCTCTCTCGAATTCTAAGAGGACCAATATGTTAGATAACTGTTTCTGAGTTCGTAACCATGAAGGAGAGACAGTGCTCTGACTATCCCCACTGAAAAATGGTGGTGAGTTTTTTTTTTTTTTTTTTGCAGGTTAGTACACCCTCACTTAGACCACGGTGCTGCTTTTGTGCTGTCTATTACTGTAAAACACTGGCCAGCTGATCACCTCTCTTTTAATACCTTCCTTTTTTTTTTTTTTTTCCAAATGTATTCTTAATTGCAATATGAGAGCTTCATTTTCGGCCTTTCCTCTCTCCTGTATTCACTAAATTAATTGCCTTAATTAAAATGTGAAATGTGTTTTTCTAGAATACCCACCCTGAAAAGGCCAGGGTGCTCATGTTTAATTTCGTATACAACCCAGACCGTCTCAACAAGCCCTGTGAATGTTTTCCTTTCTTTTCATAGAGGCAAATTGAGTTAATGTATCGAAAAGAATAGCTTCATTTTACAGTGTGATTTTCGTTTAAGTCTGTCCACAGCATGCACATAATTGAGAATGTGTTCTCATGAAGCTATTTCAGGTTTCTTCTGTTGCATCTGTTTCTCTCTCACCCTGATCTAGTAAGTCACTTTTTATTTCAGGGTGTAAAAAGTGATCACACCAAGAATTTCCCTCAAATGTGTCCAATGCAGGAAGTCTTATAAATATTCCCATATGAGCAGAGCACGTGGATAATTTCTTATATTTTTAGTGATTGATGCTGCTGTCTGGCATTTGAAGTTAAATGCTATATCAAAATTTTTCCTTTTTTTCTTCTAGCTATACAAAAAGCCAGATGTCCCACTATATAAAAAAATCCGTTCAAGTGAGTAACTTGGGAGCTATTTTTTTCTGCCTTCATACCATCAGTATTCTTCTTAGCCTAGCACTTAAAAAATTATCCTCTGTGTTCACAAATTACACTTTGCTATCTTCTTTCAAGATGTCTACGTTGATGTCAAGCCCCTTTCTGGTTACGAGGCCACCACCTGTAACTGTAAGAAGCCAGAGGATGACACCGGGAAGGGCTGTGTGGACGACTGCCTCAATAGGTACTGTACTAAACTGACTTCTCTAAAAGCACGGGCTTTAGGATAGATGACACTTCTTTTGGAAGAAAAGTTAAATAAGCTCTTTGATTTCCTCTCCTGAAGTTGCACAAAGCTATATAAAATCTAATTGATGGGCTGTCTTAATCTTCTTGGGCTGTTATGGCAAAATACCATAGCCCTGGTGGCTTAAACAGCAGAAATTTATTTCTCATCGTTCTGGAGGCTGGGAAGTCCAGGGTCAAGATGCAAGTATTTGATGTCTGGTGAGGACCCACGTCCTGGCTTATAAGACGGCCACTTTCTCCCTGTGTGTTCACATGGCCTTTCCTTAGTGCGTGCTTGTGGAGAAAGAGCTCTCTGTTCCTCTTCCTGTACGGACGCTAATTCCATCATGCAGTTCCTACCCTTATACTCTAATATAAGCCAGTTGACCTCCCAGAGACTCTACCTCCAAATAACCATTACACTGGGGGGCTGGGGCTTCAACTGTTAATTTTAGGGAGACACAAGCATAACGGAGTAACAGAAAAAGAATGAGATTTAGGGTCTTAACATACCTCTTAATTACTTAGGAGACCTGAAGAAAGTTATTTAACCCCTCTAATAAAAATAGTACCTTCTTTAGGTGGGGCTGTGGGTGAGGATTTTATGAGACAATGTTCATAAAGTATTTAGCATAGTTTAGAAACTTTACGAGCTCTCCATAAATGGTAGCCATAATGAGGGAGTAAGGTAGGATGGTGGCAGTGAGAAGGAAGAAAGGCGTGATGTATTCTGAAGAAAAACTGGGATGGTGAACCATTAGCACACACACATAGATGCACATGTGCTGACTGGGTCAGTGGTGCTGATGAGAGTTGGTTATGCTGTTGTCAGAGAATGGAAGTATGAGGTCTGGCTAGTTTGGGGGTCAAAACTATGATTTTAATTTGGAGCCATTAAGTTCTAAATGATATGGAGATTTCAAAATGGAAAGGTTTGGATAGAGACTGAAGAATGGAGATCTGATTTGTTGGTTTTAGTAACATAAGCAAATGTACAGTAAAAAAGAACGCATGAACTTTACATCAGTGCTTCCTCTTCTAGATAGTTTTCCTGGCTAAAGACAACTGCTTCCCCAGTCTCTGGTCAACTGTTCTATGGGCTAAGGGAATCGATGTTTTAGTAGCTCCTGTATCAACATGGCAGCTGGTAAATTCTGCCTTATACCACATCATTGTTAATTCACGTGTTGTACATACACACGTGGTTTCAGGAGTCATGGCTGCTGGCCTCGTCTGTGTTGTGCACTGATTTTTCTTCACTCACAGATGTTTTATATACATATGTACTATTTTTTTTTTGGTCTTTTTTTTTCTTTTTATATATATATACACTTTTATGTATCAGTGTGGTCCACAAGCTCACCATTGTTAGGAGTTCTGTTATCTTCCATAGGTTGATATGCCCTAATTTGCCATCCTCCAGTGGTTCGGCATTCAGATTATTCCCAGTGTTTTGCTATTAAAAATCGCACTACTGTAAACCTGTGTAGACTCCTTCTTTTTTTAACCCTTAAGATGTACTCTCAGAAGAATTATCTGTACAAACTATATGAACATTTATATAATTCTTACTATATACTATCCAGTAGCTCTCATAAATTAATGAGTTAATTTGGAGTATCACCACCAGGATATGAATATACCCTCTTCCCTGTAGTTCCACCTCCTTTAGGCATTTGTATCTAGCTTTATTTTCAGTGCTTTAATATCTCATTGGTTTAATGTTGGGGAATATATGTGTTTAAAATTGCTTAAATTTGCATTCCTTTATATGCTAACATTACTGTTTTTTTATATGGTATTGTATTGTCTATGAAATTGCCATAATATAGCTACCATCTCATTGGTTAGTTCCTCTCTTTTTCACAGTAGTCTAATGAGATAGGTAATAGTTTTATATTTTATAAATGAAGGATCCTAGAGTTTGGATAGTAAGTTGCTCCGTATCATATACAACACTTAAGTGACAGAATTTGAACCCATGTGTGTTTGATTCAAAAGTCTTGTTCTTTCCACTGTATACACTGCTTACTGTGTAAATCATTAGTCTTTTAATCACATGGAACTGAAATCTGAATATTTACCTTTACATAATTACATTAGTTGTCTTGTATCATTTTTGTTACTATGGGTGTCACATTTGTCCTTTCCATTGTGTTGTCTTTCTTAAAAAAAAAAAAACCAGATACGGTGCTGCCAACTTTATGAGAATATGAACCCTACAGGGGCGCCTGGGTGGCTCAGTCAGTTAAATGTCTGCCTTCAGCTCAGGTCATGATCCCAGGGTCCTGGGATCAAGCCCCGTATCGGGCTCTCTGCTCGGTAGGGAGTCTGCTTCTCCCTCTCCCTCTGCCCCCCCCCTGCCAAACAAACAAACAAACAAATAAATAAAACATGAACCCTACATATTCATGCATCTAATGATGAGATGATAAATGCATAAATACCTAAGAAAAATCAAAATACATTATTCAGTGGATGCTTTCGTATATATTTAAAAGCAACCCACATAAAGATTTAGTTAAATGGAGCTACCTAAAATGTCTTTCCTGTCTTGAATGTGTTCAAGGTTTTGTAAATATTTGTGGGGAAAACTCAAATATCTGTAAGATCCAATTTTATGTCTATATAGGGTTCAAATAGCCCAAAGGAAACTGAATTCAGGACTGTTTTTGAAAATAAGTAATGGGTTTTTATAAAATATTTTTAAAACATGGCCTCTTCTAAACAATTTCTAAGAATCATCAGTGTTGTTTATAAATTCTATAAGATCTTCCCTAGTTAATATTTGTGTCTGCACACCATCCATATCAAACCCCTTACAGCTCCAGAATATTCCACGTTCCCTAGAGCAGAGTCTCATAATTCATTTCAAGCTGCTTTTTAACCCTGTGCCCATTTGTTCACAGCATGTACAGAGCCCACTTTCTCAGTTCTCACAACAACAAATATGTTGTATAACAAAGCCAAATACTTAGGGGAAGATAAAAGTATATTGCCAAGTAAGCCTTGTAATGCTACCAGAAGGGATTACTCTTGAGTTCACATGCCACAAACTGAACATCGGGTCCCTGGCTAACTCCCTGTTAGATCCTGTCTGTGCTCCTTTGTTGAGTACAGTTTACTTCCTCTTACCCCCACAGTGAGAAAGAATCTCCAGGATCCTTCACCTTTTGCTGCAGAAGAGCAGTAGGCCTTCAAATTCTTGGTCCCCAAAAGTAGGGAGGATCCTCTTCCCCTGCCTCCAAGGCTTACTCCTTCCTGAGCTGGCATGATTTGTAGTGGGAATATTTTTCAAGTGAAAACCTGTCTCCACTCACAGGATGGTCTGACATCTGTAACAAGTTAAGTCAGTCACACTAGTACACTTGCCAGTGACTATTAAACATTAAGTCTCACCATGTGAGGGAAAGAGCTTTCCAATCTAGGTCTATATTTAGAAGGAGGAAAATTCTCTAGTCTTAACAATGAACGGCATTATGTGGCTAAAGATAATGGCAATTTATGCTGTAAGTCAACAACTTCACATCTTAGTTTGCAACATTTACTTTCAGATTTTGATAAGTTTACAGTTTGTTTTCCAGGCACAATGAATAGAACCATGTTTTACTTTTTACGTAAGGGAGTTATCTTGATAATTGAAACACATGGAGTATATTTCAGTGCCTTCAACTCTAGAAACCACAAATTTTCAACAATTGAGTATTCTCCAGCAGAAATTTTTTAAAATTGATTTTAAAATCTCTTTCATCTCAGGGCACCTGGGTGGCTCAGTCGTTAAGCGTCTGCCTTCGGCTCGGGTCATAATCCCAGGGTCCTGGGCTCCAGTCCCACATCGGGCTCCTTGCTCAGCGGGGAGCCTGCTTCTCCCTCTCCCACTCCCCCGGCTTGTGTTCCCTCTCTTGCTGTGTGTCTCTCTCTCTCTGTCAATAAATAAAATCTTTTGAAAATAAAATAAAATCTCTTTCATCTCAGGGCACCTGGGTGGCTCAGTTGGTTAAGCGTCTGCCTTTGGCTTACTCAGGTCATGATCCCAGGGTCCTGGGATTGAGCCCCACATCGGGCTCCCTGCTTAGCAAGCAGGAAGCCTGCTTCTCCCTCTCCCTCTGCCTGCCTGCCACTCCCCTTGCTTGGGCTCTCTCTCTGTCTCTCTGTCTCTCTCTCTCTCTCTCTGTCAAATAAATAAATAAAATCTTTAAAAATTAGTAAATAAAATCTCTTTCATTTCAGCACTCTGTTATATTTTAGTTCTTTTATCCACATAAAGCTTACTGTTTTGTGTGTTTTGAGGTATGATGAAAATTCTGGTGGGGTATTGTGAAGAGAGGGTTACAACTGAAACTATGAACATGAACGAGCCTTCTTTTTTTTTTATTTAAATTCAATTAATTAACATGTAGTGTATTACTAGTTTCAGGGGTATAGTTCAGTGATTATCAATTGCATATAACACCCAGTGCTCATTACATCACATGCCCTCCTTAATACCCATCACCCAGTTACCCCATCCCCCCATCCTCTGTGAATGAGCCTTCTAAAGATAGGAGGAACAGGAATGTGCCATGAAAGGTAGAGAGGGAAAAAAGGATTTCTGGTTTTCTTTAAAAAAAAAAAAAAAGGATTCATTATTGGAAAGGTGGGAAATCCATTATCCTAAAAGATCAAGAAGGACAGCATTTCCATGAGGGGTGTTCAGTTGTGTTCATTCAATGAAGAATTCATTAAAAGAAAGAACAAAGGTGGTGAATTTGACAGTAACGCAGTGTCTTTCTCACAAATTAAGCTGATTGTCTTGATTGAATAATCCCAGTGTGGATACTTCCTCTGCTTACTGCTCATTTATGTGATTTGACACTGTGTGTTCTGCCCTTTAGATAAGGATATTTATTTGAAGGATGGCTATGAAAGTACTTTATATTATAAAATGTTAAATGCTTTTTTTTACAGGATTTATGTTATGGATGTGTGTGTGTGTGTATATATGTTATATAAAATATAATGTGATATTCTGATCTACCATTATATTCTTGATCCTCCCTTGTTTTAATCATGATCAGTAGCCTTACTGGGATTCTAAACCATACACCAAAACTGAATGGCTTCTCTGAAAGATCCAGAAATGTAAAAAAAGAAAGCAGTTAGAAGTCATGTGCATAACAGCTTTTCTCTGCTATGTTGAGAATATTTTGCTTGTTAATTCACTAGAGGTTATAAATTCAGCTAGTATAGAGACTGGGAAGTGTTATTTCAATATGGAAATGTCATTTACACTAATGAAATGTAAAATTCTTATAAAATGACAGTGTAGGGGTACCTGGGGGGTTCAGTTAGTTGAGCATCTGCCTTCAGCTCAGGTCATGATCCTGGAGTCCTGGAATTGAGTCCCACATCGGGCTCCCTGCTTAGCAGAGAGTGTGCTTCTCCCTCTCCCTCTGCTCCTCCCCCCGCTCATGCTCGCTGTCTCTCTCTCGCTCTCAAATAAAATCTTAAAAAAAAAAAAAAACTGTGCAAATGTACTGAACTATATCCTTAAAAATATTTACAGTGTAAAGTTTATGTGTGATTTTACCACAATTGCAAAAGAAAAAAATCTGTAAATGCCCATCAGCTACTTCAAAATAAGAATGCTATGTAATCTTCAAATTATTAATTCCTCTATAGGTTGTAGTTTTATTGTTAGCACAGAGCTAAACATGATTGTGTTTACCCAGGATGCTTAGTGGACAGTTAGCTTAATCTATTCAGCCTTTATAACTTGACTTGGAAATTTTCAGTATTATTAAGTTTTGAAGTTGTATACTCTTTGCCCTTGTGAACCTTGTTAACTAATCCAACCTTTGTTAAAAACAATGTATTTTAAAACTTCCTATAAAACAAAAATGGGTTCGTGAAGGCATATATAATATTAATTGACATACAATTATCCCTTTTCTTTCTAGAATGATCTTTGCTGAGTGTTCCCCCAACACTTGCCCCTGTGGTGAGCAGTGCTGTAACCAGAGGATACAGAGGCATGAGTGGGTACAGTGTCTAGAACGATTTCGAGCTGAGGAAAAAGGTTGGGGAATCAGAACCAAAGAACCCCTGAAAGCTGGGCAGTTCATCATTGAATACCTAGGGGAGGTTGTCAGCGAACAAGAGTTCAGGTACAGTGATGAATGATGATACGCCAATAAAATGGCAGAGGTACCAGATTAGAATGAAAAATGGGAGATTTCAAATTTACTTTCAACTTAATCATTAATTGACTTTCAATTCTTCCTCTCCTCTTTAGGAACAGGATGATTGAGCAGTATCATAATCACAGTGACCACTATTGCTTGAACCTGGATAGTGGGATGGTGATTGACAGTTACCGGATGGGGAATGAGGCCCGATTCATCAACCACAGCTGTGACCCAAACTGTGAAATGCAGAAATGGTAAGGAAGCAGGGGAAAGTGAAGTCACAAATCCAAGAGAGCAGAAGGCATTGAGGGTATCAAGAGATGAGTCTTCCCGCAGTGTGAGTCAGCTTACACAAGCACCTCAGGCAATTCCCTGTTATACCAGATCCTCCAGGCATAGAGTCAGCTGCTGCTATTTCTTCACTTCATCTTAACTACTCCCAGAAAAATATAACAGTATATATGATAATATAATAATGATAATATAATAATGCCAATACCTAATACTTATCAACTGCTTACTGTGTGCCAGGTACTGTGTTACATGGTTCTTCTCCTGTGAGGTCACTCAGCATATTTATTACATGCCCACTGAATTTGTCACAGTGAGAAACAAAAATAAGTAAAACAGGTAAGAATCTAACTAAAAGCAAAAAATTACATCTAAAAAATTCAAAAAAGATAATAGAAGATTCTGGGAAGATGGTGGAGTAGGAAGCATCAGGAGTCCCTCTCCCCTTAGATAATTACACTGGTAGAATCTGTCTGATGGAACAATTTTGGAGTCTTTTGAAGACTTGCAACTACTAGGGGAAGGCTGAGATGGTAAATTGTGGTTCCTTTTAGTCAGTTTAGTCAGTTTCAGCTCAGAACAGTAGCAGCTACCTGTGCCCTACCTGCAGCTACATGGCAGGTAGCTATGCAAGCATTCCAACAGCTTGCACACAGATTGCAGAAGCTAGGATGAGTAAGGAGGACCCTGTCCTCTAAAAATGGGGAATCTGGGCTCTGATTGCTGCTTCTGATCACAGAGGTGCAGACAAAGATGGGCAACCATTGTGGCGGTGGTGGTCCCTCCCACCATTGTTGTAAGCCCCTCTCCTGCCACATGAAGTGACTTTCAGGAGATTTGAAGGGCCAGGGCCCTATTTTCTTCCCCTTCATTTTCCACTTTTTTTTTTTCCCTTTTGGGGGCCAGAAATTAAAGATTAGGACATGTGAGCCCTGGGGAAGTGGAGAGAACCTTATTTCCAGACATACCACATTATTAGGTCCAAATTTGCAGTGTTCAAGGAGAAATCACAAGGAATACAAAGAAACAGGAAACTATGGCCCATTCAAAGAAAAAGTAATAATTCAAAAGAATCTGTCCCTTAAAAAGACTTAATGGCAAATAGGTTAGACAAAGACTTTATAAAACAAAAGCCCAAAGATGCTCAAAGAACTAAGGGATGATGTGGAGAAATTCATGACAATGACGTGTGAGCAAAATGGAAATATCAGTGAAGAGATAGCCTAAAAAGAAACCAAAAACAAATTCTGAAAAGTACCATAATTGAAATGAAAAATTCACAAGAGGAATTCAGAGGCAGATTTGAGCAGACTGAAGAAAGAACCCATGAACTTCAAGATACGACAATGGAAATTCTCAAGTCTGAGGAACAAAGAAAAGCACTGAAGGAAAGAGAACAGACCCTAGAGGACCTCTGGGACACCATCCACCAGACCATCATATGCATTGTGGGTGTCCCAGAAGGAGCAAAGAGAAAGAGGCAGAGAGAGTATTTGAAGAAATAATGGTTGAAAACTTCCTAAATTTGATGGAAGACATGAATATAAATAAGCACAAAGCTCACTGAACTCCCAAGTAAGATGAACTCAAAGAGACACACAGCAAGAAACAATCAAACTTGGAAAAGATAAAGAGCAGATCTTGAAAGCAGCATTAGACAAGCAAATCACATACAAGGGATCCTCAATATTATCTGCAGTTTTCCTACCAGAAGTTTTGGAGGCCTGGGGTGCCTGGCTGGTTCAGTCAGTGGAGCCTGTGACTCTTGACTCAGGGTTATGGGTTTGAGCTCTATGTGGGACATAGAGATTACTTAAAAATAAAATCCTTAGGGGCGCTTACATGGGTCAGTAAAGCATTCTGCCATTGTCTTGGGTCGTGATCCCGGGGTCCTGCAATTGAGCCCTGCATAGGGGGGTCCCTGCTCAGTGGGGAGTCTGCTTGTCCCTCTGCCCCTCCCCCCATTCGTGCTCTCTCTCTCTCTCTCAGATATCTTTTAAAAATAAGAATAATCAGGTCTTGCAGTCGCAGGCTTACACCGAGTACGCCCAGCCCACCCTCTCTGCGGCGCCTCAGCCCCGGTGCGCCGCCGCAGCCCATGAGGAGAGTCGGCCGGGCGGGCCGGCATTAAATTGGAAAGATGTCCCTGTATGATGACCTGGGAGTAGAGACCAGTGATTCAAAAACAGAAGGCTGGTCCAAAAACTTCAGACTTCTGCAGTCTCAGCTTCAGGTCAAGAAGGCAGCTCTCACACAAGCCAAGAGCCAGAGAACAAAACAGAGTACAGTACTTGCCCCAGTAATCGACCTAAAGTGAGGCGGCTCTTCAGACGACCGGCAGATCGTGGACACCCCCCCGCACATCGCAGCTGGCCTGAAGGATCCTGTTGCCAGTGGATTTTCTGCAGGAGAAGTTTTGATTCCATTGGCTGATGAATATGATCCCATGTTTCCTAATGATTATGAGAAAGTAGTGAAGCGCCAAAGAGAGGAACGATAGAGACAGCGGGAGCTGGAAAGACAGAAATAGAAGAGAGAGAAAAGAGGCGTAAGAACAGACATGAAACTAGTGGGTTTTTGAGGCATCCAGATTCTGATGAAGATGAAGATTACGAGCAAGAGAGGCGGAAAAGAAGTATGGGTGGAGCTGCCATTGCACCACCCACTTCTCTTGTAGAGAAAGACAGTTACCCAGAGATTTCCCTTATGAAGAGGATTCAAGACCTCGCTCCCAGTCTTCCAAAGCTGCTATCCCTCCCCCAGTGTACAAGGAACAAGACAGACCCAGATCTCCGACCTGACCTGGCAACTCCTTCCTTGCCAACATGGGTGGCACAGTAGCACATAAAATCATGCAGAAGTACGGCTTCCCGGAAGGCCAGGGTCTGGGGAAGCACGAGCAGGGCCTGAGCACAGCACTGTCCATGGAGAAGACAAGCAAGCGAGGAGGCAAGATTATTGTGGGTAATGCCACAGAGAAAGATGCATCCAAGAAGTCAGATTCAAATCCATTAACTGACATACTTAAGTGTCCTACCAAAGTGGTCCTCCTAAGGAACATGGTTGGTGCAGGAGAGGTAGATGAAGACTTGGAAGCAGAAATCAAGGAAGAGTGTGAAAAATATGGCAAAGTTGGAAAATGTGTGATATTTGAAATTCCTGGTGCCCCTGATGATGAAGCAGTACGAATATTTTTAGAATTTGAGAGGGTTGAATCAGCAGTTAAAGCTGTTGTTGATCTGAATGGGAGGTATTTTGGTGGACGGGTGGTAAAAGGATGTTTCTACAATTTGGATAAGTTCAGGGTCTTGGATTTGGCGGAACAAGTCTGATTTTAAGAACTAGAGCACAGGTCATCTCCGATGATCCTTAAATGAGCTGCAGGCTGAGCAGAGAAGGAAAAGACGTCAGCTGGCCTGTGTGGCTGCCGCGTACAGAGACTCTTGGAAGGACTTCTAAGATATATGTTGATTGATCCCTTTTTTATTTTGTGGTTTTTTAAATATAGTATAAAAATCCTTTAAAAAAATAAATAAATAAAATAATATAAAATCTTTTTTAAAAAAGTAGATGACTCAAACTCTCCAAGTGGCAGAATGGAATTCAACGTCCATTTATGATAAAAACTTTAAACAAAGTGGGTATAAGGGGACATACCTCAACATAATAAAGGCCATATACAAGAAGCCCACAGCTAACAACATACTCAGTGGTAAAAGTCTGAAAGCTTTTACTCTTGAGATCAGGAAAGGATGGGACACTTGGATGGCTCATTTGGTTAAACGGCTGCCTTCAGCTCAGAGCATAATCTCAGGGTCCTGAGATCAAGCTTCACATCAGGCTCCCTGCTCAGTGGGGAGTTTGCTTCAGATCAGGAAAAGGACACTCCCACCACTTTTATTCAACATAGTACTGGAAGTACTAGCCAGAGCAATTAACCAAGAAAAAGAAAATACATCCAAATTGGAAAGGAAGAAGTAAAACCGTCTCTATTTGCAGATGACATGACATTATACATAGGAAACCATAAAGACGCTACAAAAAAATTGTTAGAACTGATAAGGTAAGTTAACTGGTTGCAGGACACAAACTCAAAATATCAGACTCAGTTGCATTTCCACACTCTAATAATGAACTATCAGAGAAATTAAGAAAACATTCCCATTTGCAAAGCAGCATAGAAAATACCTAAAAGTAAATTTAACCAAGGATGTGAAAGTCATGTACATTGAAAACACTAATAATTCGTTAATGAAAAAAATTGAATAAGGCTCAGTGGAATGGAAGAATTAATTATTGTTAAATAATATGCTTGTGGAGTGGAAGAATTAATATTGTTAAAATGTCCATACTGCCCAAAGCAGTCTAAAAATTCAGTGCAATAAAAGTCAAAACTTCAATGGCAAATTTCAGAGAAATTGAACAAAGAATCCTAAGATCCCAAATAGTGAAAGCAATTGAAAAAGAAGAATAAAGGTGGAGGCATCTCACTCCCTGGTTTCAAACTATATTACAAAACTATAGTAATCAAAACAGTGTAGTATTGGCTTAAAAGTCACATGAATGTAATAGAATCGAGAGCTCAGAAATAAACGCATGCTTGTATGATCAATTAATTTGCATCAAAGGAGACATGAATATGTAGTACAGAACATGCAGTCTATTCAATAAATTGTGTTGGGAAAACTGGACCCCTCCCTACACCATACACAGAAATCAAGCCAAGATGTATTAAAGACTTGAAGGTAGCACCTGAAACCATAAAATTCCTAGAAGAAACCATAGGGGATAAGCTCCTTGACATCATTCTTGACGAGGACTTTTTGGGGTTGACCCCAGAAGCAAAGGGCAACAAAAGCAGAGCTAAGCAAGTGGGACTACATCAAATTATAAAGTTTCTATACAGCAAAGGAAACCATCAACAAGATAAAAAGGCAACCCACAGGATGGGAGAAAATATTTG